GTCTGGGGGACCGTGTCCCGCAGCCCCAATGCCGCCGCGAGCAGAGTGGAGTGGCTGCCAGTGGTTGGAACCGTGGAGGTGTCCCCCGCTGGCGAGCGCGCCCAGGACACCGGTCTCTGCTAAGTTTTGTGCGCGCGCGTTGCAGGGACCGTGTGTGAGTCTGGTACGTAGCCTCTCTTTCGGGGGACGCTGTCTCTGACGCCTTTGGGGACTCATCCCTCCCAGCACCCGCGCAACCTGCCCTTGAATCCCCTCCGCGTCTGGTCATTTCCTTCTAAAGTCGTCGGAGTGCGTGTTCTGCAGCCAGCGAAGAGCACGTGGGAGTCCGAATGAAGGTTTTTGATTCACTTGGGAGTTGGGTAGCCAGTTGAGGAATTGGCGAAATGGGTGGCGCCTCCAGTTTAAATTGTGCAGAAAACGCTGTGCTACGCTTTTCCATAGCTTTGAAGACAATTTTAGCAGTGATGTCTGCTGTCATTATTGAGATAACGTCTGAAATTATGTTAGTGTATTTTGGGCTTGAGTGGATACAACTTTTGACCATAATACACAGACATTTTGTTCTTAAAAATGCCCGTTGCCAAGTAGTTTAAAAGCCTCTTAGTATGTTACTTAACAATGATGGAGTCATTTCAAATCTCAGAGAGGAGATCTAGGGGTAAGGAGAAATTTTTAAATTAAAAAAAATTAAAAAAAATTTTTTTGGTATCGGGGATCGAACTTGGGTCCTTGTATTTGCAAGGCAGTCTGATTTTTTAATATGTGCATTCTTGATATGTTCGAGTACTGGAGCAGGTTTAGTACTGAGTAGGTTGTTGAAGCAGTGCTTCCGTTACCGAGCAACACCACTGTAAACAATTCCAGTATTTAAGTAGAACATAATTAAGTGTATCTACCCTACAATAAACTGGGTTCAGATTCTCTAAATTAACAAGTTCAGCCTGTTGGTTACAGTTAATCACCTTTTGCATTCAGGTTTTGTTTCAACCACATTTTGTTCAGGATTGTCAATGCTTCTTTATATTTCAGTATTGCACAGCATACTCAAGAGTTTCATATGGATTGGAGTTGCTAATTTTGGTTATTTAGGACGGAATATACTGGGTATTCCTCTTTGAGAATTTTCTTTTTCTAACCAAAGTATACAGACTTATTTTTAGGAATAGTTTCAAGTAACAGCAGCGTAATAGTGACTTAGAGTTACATACAGCGTTTGGGAGCTTGAAACACTGCTTATTTACAAGCCATTTTAAACATTTAAAAATTTTTATTAGTACACGTTTGCAGTACATAAAGTTTACGTTCCTTGTGTGGAGTTGATACATAATCATAAGACATCTTAATTCCTTATTTCATTCCCTTTTCTTCCTCAGTCCTCCCTGTAGCTGGTAAACTCAATCTTTCTCCACTCATGGAACCCCTAATATAATTTGTATGGCAAATTGTTTTCAGAGTACTTTTTAAATTATCTTTTGAATTTGACAACCTTTCAAGTAAGTATATGAGTTGAGACATAGTGATTCAAATGACCTTCTTGAAATCAAACTGTTCATAATGGAAATTGGGACCGCAAGTTTGTGTCATACCTTACTGCAGTGATGGTGAACCTTTTAGAGACCCAGTGCCTAAACTGCAACCCAAAACTCATTTATTGCAAAGTGCCATCACTGCAGTTAAACCTGAATACTGAGGTTTTAGTTTAGAAAAAACAACTCATATAGGAACATCTTTTGTCCTAAAAGAAAAATACAGTAATATGTATGCTATAGATTTACCACCACTGCCCTACTGTATTGCTAAAATCTGCAGATTTTTTGTAGTTCTCATACTTGACCCTCTCATCTGCTGATGTTGCAGTATTGAAATATTCAGACATTGGGCAAGGACTGAGAGGGAAGAAAATTAAGAATGACTTGTGTGGTAAAATCCTTCGTAGTTAGAAATCAGTATTCTATCGCAGGAAATTGAAGAAATTTAGAGTGAAATCTTAACTGAAAAACTAGTGAATTGTCAGATTTTTCTTCTTCTGAGAATTAGCTCTACCTAAAGTGAGTGAGATTGACTTTAATTTTGTCATACAAAATGTATTAGCCTCAGTAAACAATATTCTTACATTATTTAGCCTGTGTAGTACTTTTGGGGAATATGTGTGTGTGTGTTTAAGTAATGTCCTACTAACTGAAGTTCTCAACTTGAGGTGAATTCTTCAAAATGTCACCTTGCCTTTCCAAGATTATCTTCTTGATAGAAAACGTCTTTGTCCTCTAAGACTGACGTGCTTTTTCCCTGTATTCATCACAATGTCGCCTGACTTTCTTAACACAGTTTCTCCCTTTCTTAAAATGTAAATTTCACCTTTTCTATAAAGTTCAACTGCACCTTGACCTTATTATTTTATCTTTTTGTTTGTCTTACCTTTAACTAGATTGTAAGTCCTTTCAAGGGTAGGGCAGCCCATCTCAGTGAGCTTTATTCTTTGTATTTTCCAAACAGAAGTTACTGAATAAATGTTTCATAAAGATGATGAATGTGCATTTCTACCTTTTTTTCACCCCTTTATGGACATAATAACATTATTGAGAGAGGAAGTAACTGATGTAGGAAGGGCAATGATACACCATGAGAAAAGGGGGGTTGATTAAAGAAAGGGGGGTTCATTTGGATCAGGAGAGGTTCTGTTCCTAGAAAGTGAATATTGGAGAAATTCCCCTGACAATACCAGCAGCAGTAAGGACTCCTTCAGGAATTCTGGCACTATTCCCAAGTGGCCTTGGGGAGTTTGGTCCATTTCCTGGTTCTTTGTAGACTTTTAGTAGAATCTTAATTTTTTAAAAAAATGAATCTGTGCTCTTTCCCTTCTCCCTCTCCTCTTTTGCCCACCTCACATTTGGCAGTCCCACTCCTTATTTTACTCATTCACATCCTACTTTTTGACCAGGTCAAGACTTAGTTTATGAAATTATGTCAAGACTTTCATTTTGCTCTCATAAATGAACAGTTAACTGAAATTTATTATGTATATATGTACATTTTTTCTCTTAAGCCTACTCTCTAGCCAGGGATTTAGCTCAGTGGCTCTGTTGCCTGCCTTGAAAGTGCAAGGTCCCAAGTTGGATCCTGGTACCAAAAAAAAAAAAAAAAAAAAAAA